CGCACACTGCGCACACGCGCACACGCGCCACTACGCCGCTACCCGCGCACACACGCACACACGCACACACGCACACACGCACACACGCACACACGCACACACGCACACACGCACACACGCACACACGCACACACGCACACACGCACACACGCACACACGCACACACGCACAAACGCACACACGCACACACGCACACACGCACACACGCACACACGCACACACGCACACACGCACACACGCACACACGCACACACGCACACACGCACACACGCACACACGCACACACGCACACACACCCACACACCCACACACCCACGCACACGCGCACACGCGCACACGCGCACACGCACACGCACACGCACACGCACACGCACACGCACACGCACACGCACACACACGCACACGCGCACACGCGCACACGCGCACACGCGCACACGCACACACGCACACACGCACACACGCACACACGCACACACGCACACACGCACACACGCACACACGCACACACGCACACACGCACACACGCACACACGCACACACGCACACACGCACACACACGCACACACGCACACACGCACACACGCACACACGCACACACGCACACACGCACACACGCACACACGCACACACGCACACACGCACACACGCACACACGCACACACGCACACACGCACACACGCACACACGCACACACGCACACACGCGCAAGCACACAAAGCAAGCAAAGCACGCACACGCAGCACGCACACAAGCACGCACGCGCACAAGCACGCACACAAGCACGCACGCACACAAACACAAACGCACACGCACACAAACACACACGGAACCACACACAAAAACACACAGACAAATACACACAGACAGAGAGAGAGACACACACACTCAGACACGCACAGAGAGAGACACACACACACACGCATAATTAGACACACACACAGACACACACACACACACAGACACACACGCACACACATAGACGCACACACACATAGACGCACACACACACACACACAGACACACACACACACAGACAACATACATACACAGGCACACGCACAGGCAGACACACACATACAGAGCACACACACACAGACCACACACACACCCGTGCACACGACATCAAAAAAGGGTAAATCCTTCGTCCTTCCAAAGCTTGAAACATCAAAACGGCAACGCGGGCGAAGATTCAAACTGGATTAAAACAGTTGGAATCAACAAGTCCAAGCGTGAGAGTCTTGAAGCAAGCAATGTAGCGCTGCCAGTGCTGTTGGACAGCCAAGTTGATCGCGCCGTGAGCAGGATACTCAATTTGTCAGCGCCCCCTACCATATGTTTTTGTTGGGGTTGTGGTGCAAACGATTTGGTATGCCTTGTCTCCTCCGCGCAGCCATGAACGGGCCCTTCAAGTTCTTCGTGCAGACGCCAGCGCATTTTCTGCCGGACCCCTCCCCTGCAGGAGCCGCTGCTTGACCAGAGGGCTTACGCATTTACTGAGTTATGTGTGGGAAGCAACTCCATGGCAATGCCGCCAGTGGTTTAGACTTGACACCGAATTATGATTCTTCCTTTTCTAAGTACGGGAGTTTGGCGGGATTTTGCGCTGCAAAGGGCAATGTCAGGGTATGTTTTCCTTTCTCATGCTGAACAGTTCATGTTCCATGTGCGTGAAGATGGTGCTGGGTGGCTTGTTGGAATCACGCCCTTTTTGGATCGCCGTTGCTGCGTGCAGCATGTAGCCCGCCTTGTCGTTTCACTGTTGCCAACTTCTATGATCGACATTAAGTTCGCTGCGTCCATTGCAGCAACGCTTTGCTCCCGTGCTAACTGCCAGTCTAGGGTGACTTGAAGGCTGGTGTGTTGCTGCCGCAAGGGTGAATGGAAGTTGGACGCCCCCCCTTCCGATCGAGTGGAAATGTGTTTGTGGCCTAGTACCGCGGCGATTGATCATTTGAGGCTCAAACAACAGAAAGGGCGCGCTCTAAATGCGGCACCTACTCTCCTGGCACCATGACATCACACGCAACCTCCATCACTGCCTTCGCGCGGTTCCCCATGAAGCAGCCACTGGACGCCGGCCAGCGGCATGCGCGGAACCTCTCGGATTTCCTGAAAGCCCTCCAGCGCCAGCCAGAGGACTTTGAGCAGATGATTCAACAGCTCAGGGAGTGGTACTTTAGTGAGGCCGAGGGCCAGGTGGAAGAGGTTGGAGTCCAGATGCATGCGTCCAAAGCTTGCACGCTGTTTTCAGCCCTCAGCAAGCCAGAAGTGGTTTGCCTTTGATGTGAGGGAATCAGCTGAAGGACACTTCTCATTGGATCCCGACACCCGGACATGCATAGCAAATTGGCTTGCGCAGTCGACATACAGTATTGAAGTTCAATCGATATCACAATTGCGGAACTATTCGTGTTACGTTCTTGACATGTGTGGTTGGATTCTGCGAAGGCAAGGTATCGCAGTTTCGACTACTCCATGTTAGATAGTTGGTTGACTCCTGATCAGCGATTCCCATGCCAGATTGCAGCGATCGCGCCTTTGAGTGCACGTTTGATGCCAGTCGTGCAGCAAGACTGTGCGCGACACAGTTTCTTGCTCTCCAAAGCCCAACGCCGGTTTCCTCGCCCCAGCCAGCGCCCGGCGCACTGAGAGAGGCCCTTTGTCTTTCTCATGTGCTGTGTCTCACAGTGCATCTCTGCAAGTTACGAGGTGCTCAGCGGGTGGGGGATGGGTGATTTTGCTGTAGTTTGCACAGTTGGCAGTAGGATTTGTGAGACAGTGCAACGCTGGGAAGTTCTAGCGTGTGGGCAACAAAGATCCCGTTTTTCTTTGGACTCATTGACTCAATCTGACATGTGGTGTGATTCTGCTACGCTACGAGCAAAAATCCCCATTCGTTTCGGCCGCGCGATTTGGGCCTTTGACGTTTCAAAGTCAAGATTCCTCTCTTTTGGACTTTTCGGCGGTTCCAAATGTCATGCCGCAAGGCTTGTGATTCTGCCCAAGCTGACTCAGCTGCCTGTGCTTAGTACCCTCCCAAGAAAGAATATGGCACCTGAAAGAGGGGTCCAGGAGGCGATTTGATCTTGGGGTCTATGTTCTTGCGAGGGTCCGCGAGCGAGAGTTTCATTCCCTTCTTGAAACAAGCTGAGCAGTCAACAGCAGTGGGCAGCAAATGTATGCGGGAAGGATTCGGCGGTTGAAAACCCCGGTCCAAGCAATGAATGCATGAGTGCTAAGATGCCAGAGATCTAGTTGTCTCACCTTCTCTGCAAGGCTGCAGCAACGGGTCATCGGGCAGTCATCTTGGTTCTGCTGTGAAAGGCTACTCCACGCCTTCAAAAAAAGGAGGCGAACTTCCGGGGACCTGAGAGTCAGGACCAGTCAGGCTCATCTCGCTATGCCTGATATGTGGGAAGCCTGCCGCCGGCGAGCGAATCGCAGTGACTAGCAGCGCCGGCGAGAAAACGAGGAGCTGACTGGGATGCAGGCTGAAGCCAGGGGCGTGGCCCCGTGCCGTTGCGCAGCTTTCGCACTGCCAGAGGAGGCAGAGTTACCTTCAGAAACGAAGCAGCATGCAAGTAGATATCGCAAGACGAAGCATTCGAAAGATGAGCAAACGGTCAGAGATATATGACTCGTTGGAAGACGCTGGGGTGCTGCTATTGTCCTCATGTCTGCATGCGAGCATTGAGCTTTAAGGGCGCTGAGTCAGTTTGATCTGAGTGAGACTCACTGGCGGCTCGAAGTGAAGATAGACGCTGTTCTAATTTCCGGTCCATTCCCTTAGCATGAGCTCCGCCTCGCGTGCCGGCATGGAGCTGCTTGATGATGGTGAGCTGCATGAGCTGAACCTCAAGAAATTTCTGAAGCTTGTCCATCAGCAACCGCAGGAGTTTGAGAGGATGATCAAAGGCCTCAGAAGGCAGTACCGTGACAAGCCAGCAGTTGAAGGCGTCCAGGTGCATGAGTCAAAGAGCTGCACGCTGCTTTCAGGCTGCTCTCTTACGACTTGCAAGCCGCAAGTCGTTTGTCTTTGAAGGGCATGGAGAATCAGTTGAAGGGCAGCGGCAACAGGATAGCATGACGCCTCCAACCAGGACTGTCGATTTACTCAACCACAGTCGTGTCAACTGTCACTTTCTGTTTGGCAAGCAACCCCCTCCCGTGTGTGTGTGTGTGTGTGTGCCCTTTGTACTGGACATTCAACCTTATTTGGACCAAGCGCATTTCAACGGCATTGATCCCCGTTTTCATACGCAATGCTCATACTTTCTGGCTTGCATGTACAGTCGTAGCATCCGAGAACAAACCTTGATCAGCCCTTGGCAAATCGAAAGACATGAGACCCTTCTGTGACTGACCACTCTTTTCTGGGGGACTGTCTGTTGGCGCGTAGGTTCTACTTGGATGCCATTCGATCCTGAAATGATGTTTGCATTGCCGTCTTCTGGATTTGTGAACCGTGCCCTACTGCTGCCCTTTCTCCAAACTGCCACTGGAGTGTGTCAAGCGTCAGCGTGCTTTTGTGTACCAGATCTCAGAGTTCTGGTGTGACAAGCAAAGCAGATGCCTGACCATCGCTTGATTGCTGAGGCATGGTAGCCAATTCCCAATTTCCCGCATCTCGACATCTGTGAGATGCTTGTTTCAAGGAAACAGCTTTGAAGATATGTCCGTGACGGCATCATCCGAGCCTTTTTAGCAAGTTACGAGAGTTTAAGTGGCAGCGAAGCTTGGAGAGAGAGCTCTGCGTGCTGAGCATCCAGGCTGCCTTGCCCCAAGCTGCGCGCCATGGGAGTTTAAGCTGGCGTCGAAGCCTTGCCAGCGAGCGCCAGCGAGCGCTTGCGCTGCGACGCCGGCGCTTTGTTGTTCAGATCTAGGTGCGGTGTGCCCTTTCTTAGCTGCACAAGGTCTTTCCCTGATGGGTGCCGGTCGACAGTTTAAGATTTGCGCACATTGGTGGCCTTTGTGAATTATTTTGGTATCAGTGACTAAGA